GAGGTCCTCCTGCCTCTTCCTCCCAAGAGCTATAATTAAAGGCATATGCCACCATCACCCACAGTATGTGCTCTTAACCGCTGAACCTCCTTTCCCTCTCCCCTTCCAGGCCCTTAATATTTGGGTTTTGTTTGTTTGTTTGTTTTGGGTGTTTTGTGTTTCTTTCTCTCTCTCTTTTTAGTTTTTTGAGACAGTGTTTCTGCCTGCCTCTGCCTCCCAAGTGCAGGGATTAAAGGCATGCCATCACTGCCTGTTTTTTCTTTTTTTTTTTTTTTGGTTTGTTTTGTTTTTTAAACAGGGTTTGTCTTGTGTAACAGTACTAGCTGTTCTGGAACTTGCTTTGTAAACCAGGCTGGACTCGAACTCACAGAGACTGGCCTGCCTCAGCCTACCAAGTGCTGGGATTAAAGGTGTGCGCCACCACCACCCTTATGCTGCCTTTAGCATTTTTATTGCATTTATTTATTATTTTGGGGCAGTGCACATGCCATGGTACCTCTTTGGAGGTCAAGGGACAGTTTTTAGCAGTTGCCTCTCTCCTCCTTCCACCATGTGGTACAGGGGATCCAACCCAGGTTGACGGACTTGGAGGCAGGTGCTCTTACCCACTGAGCCTTCTTACTGGCTCACACCGAGCATTTGTACATGAATTTTGGAGACAGGGTACAATTTAGATTCTTGAACTTGCAAGGTAAGCCCTTTATGGGCTCACCTGCCTCTCCAGCTCTTCCTTTGGCTTTTGTTTTTGTTTTAACACAGGGTCTCACCCTAAAGCCTATGATGACCTGAAACTCACTACGTAGCTAGACTGGCCTCAAATTCATTACAATTCTCCTGCTTCAGCCTCCCAAGTCTTGGGAACTACAAGCACGAGCCACCAAACCTCTTTTTTTTTTCTTCTTCTTTTTTTTTTTTTTAAAAAAAAAAAGGAATGGAAATTGGTGGGCGGTGGTGGTGTGCACCTTTGTACCTTTAATCCCAGCACTCTGGAGGTAGAGGCAGGCAGATCTTTGTGAGTTCGAGTCCAGCCTGGTCTACAAAGCAAGTTCCAGGACAGCCAAGTCTACACAGAGAAAAAAAAAAAAAACTGTGTCTCAGAAAAAAATAAATAAAAATTGTTCCCAAGAATGGGAAGTAGGGCCAAGGACTGCTAAGAGACACACAGCAGGTAAAGGCACCTGTTGCTGCGTCTGATGACCTGAGTGTTCTCCCCAGGATCCACATGGTAGGCGAGAAGCAGCACCCTAGTGTGTATCCATGCTCACACACATACACGAAAAAGAGTGGAAAGAGGCTAATGAGTTGAGGGTATAAACCAGACCAGCCTCAAATCTGTGTGTGTGTGTGTGTGTGTTGTTGTTGTTTTGTTTTGGTATTGGTTTTCTGAGACAGGGTTTCTCTGTGTAACAGCCCTGGCTGTCCTGGAACTCTTTGTAAACCAGATTGACCTCAAACGCATAGAGATCTACCTGCCCCTGCCTCCCTCATGCTGGGCTTAAAAAGCACATGCAGTCACACCTGGCTAGAGCCTCCTGCTCCTGCCTTCATCTCCCAAACATTGGAGATTACAGGTATGTGCCTGGGTGCCTGGCCACTTTTTCTGGTGTGTGTGTGTGTGTGTGTGTGTGTGTGTGTGTGTGTGTGTGCAGGTGTGTGCGTGTGGAGGTCAGAGGACACCCTCAGGTGTCATTGCTCAGAAACTGTCTACCTTTTATAGTTTCTTTCTTCTGAGACAGGTTTTCCTCACTGGCTGGAATCAATCTACAAAGTAGGTTCAAGCAAGGCCAGGGATCTACCTGTCTCTGCCTCCCCAACACTGGGATTATAAGCATGTACTGCTACATCTAGCCTTTTTATGTGGGCTCTGAGAGCTTGAACTCAGGTCCTGATACTCCGAAGGCAATTTCTTTATCAACCGAGTTTTCCCTACCCCATGGTTTCTGGTTGCTACCTATCCAGCCAGCAACTTCATCCCTAACTTTCCTTCCTTGGTCCCGTGAGTTTAGACCCTCCTTTCAGACCCAGCATTCTAGGAACCCAGCTCCTTTTCCTGTCCACCCCACCCCTCAAGCTTTGGGCAATGGGGCCTCTGTTCTCTGTGGAATCAGGACAGTGGTCTCCAATCCCGCCTCATTGAATCCCACCTGAAGGCGCCAGGTGGAGGCCGGCGCTCCGTCTAGGGGCGCGTCCAGGGGGGGCGTGTTCATGGTCCTGGGTGCCCAAGATATGGTAGGTTCATGAAGTAAGTTGATGAGGCGAATCCAGCGGTCAAACAGGAAGCCTAACTCATGATCAGGGGCGTCCAGTTCCAGGTAGTAGTAGCGGCCAGTGATCAGACGAAGCTTCAGGCGCCAGGAGGGCAGATCGTGGACATAGAGGTGGGCAAGGTCTAGCGGGATCATCCTGCGGGAGGTGGGAGACCTCCCGGGTAGCTATTGCCAAGGTAATGTGGAGAGTGGAGTGAGCTTGGGGTAGAGCTTCGAGGAACGAGGAGGAACATACCTGGTCAGGTTGAGATTGGAGCAATCCTTGCCCTCCGGGGGCCGAGCAAGCAAGAGAATGTCAGGCAGCACTAGACCAGGCAAGGATGCCGCTACACCCATAGTCAGCTTGTTGGTTCTGTGGTGCACGAATGCAGGAGCCCCATGATTGGTCACCTGGGGCAGCCAGGGAGCAGGGCTGGGACCAGTCCTCTCTCCAACATGCCTCCAGCATCCCCTAACCTGAGAGTCTCTTTTTTTTCCAAACCCACTTCCTACCTACAGAAGTTCAAATTCCAAATCCCCGTTCAAACCCACTCAGTCTGGGGGGGGGGGGTCCCCTCTCTCTTCCTGTGTTTCAACCCTCCTCCCCCATTTCCCGGGGCGCAGGGAGCAGGGGACCTGGACAAAGTTACTCTCGAACATGGGCAGCGGGCGGAGGGGCAGGTACTCGCCCTTCTGGAGGGTCTTCTGCAGCTCCCCAAGAATGGGAACCCACTTCTGGGGGTCCTGGGGAGGCTGGGTTCGCCGAATGTTCAACAGCCGTTTCATGACGGCTGTCAGAACAGCAGGGGGAGGTGTATAGATTCAGGGACCCAGGACCCACCCCAGCCCACCAGCCTTGGACCCCTGGGCTTCAAGGATGTCAGGAGCTCGGCAGTGACAGAAAGTGGAGTGTCCCCAGGGCTGAGAGACTCTGGTATGGCCATGGCCCTGCAGAGAGGTAGTCAGCTCTAGGCCGTGGGAGGAACCTTTGACAGGGGCTTTGTGACCTCACTAGACACCAAGAGGCTGCTTCCTGGGAACTGTCCAGGGGCCACATCCTTCCAGAATATGGAGTCTTCAAAGTTGGGGATAGGCTGACTCCATCAGAGCATCCCCTCTCTGGACCCAAAATAGTGGTGATACAGACACCATCACCATAGGGGTTTGTGTTAGTACCTGTACAGGGACCATTAGCCCAAAGACTTGAATCACAGGCCAAGCTCTGCCAGGGTCCCTCCTCCTCAGCAAGACCCAGTGCCATGCTGAGCCTCAGTTTCCCAATGATGTGTGTGTGTGTGTGTGTGTGTGTGCATGTGTGTGTTTGCTTGCACAATCTCACATCAACTGGATAGTGAACTATAAAGAAAGGGCCAACATGACTGAGAATGGTGACCACAACTATATTCCCAGCACTAGGGATACAGAATGAGGAAAATTATAAGTCTGAGGCCAGCCTAGGCTTTATAACAATACCCCGCCTCAAAATAAATGAATGAATAAAACCAAGGGCTTGGGTTGTAGTTAAGTGGTAAAATACTTACCTGGCATGGACAAGGCCCTGGGTTTAATCCCAGCACCATAACGACATAGGTCAACTACCTATGTGACCATAACAGCAACAAGCTGGGCATGGTGACACACATCTTTAATCCCAGAATTCAGTAGGCAGAGACAGGCAGATCTCTGTGAGGTCCAGGCCAGCCAGAACCTCAGGATAAGACTCAAAAACAAAATAAAACAAAACAAAATCCCTGCAGAAACCAACTCCTCCCATTGGAGCCTCAATTTCTCTCTTTTATAAAACAAGGCCTGTTTTGAGGATTTGGGACAGTTGTCTAAGTTCAAAAAAAAAAAAAAATCCAGGCTCAGCATGGCCCAGAACATGAGCTCAAGTAACCATATTTCTTGTTCTATTCTGAGGCCTTTTCTTCTTGTGGCACATGTACGGTGGGGTGAGACAGGGAGTGATAGTCTCTCATTCTAAAAATAGTGTTTATTATTGTTTTTAAATGTGTCATGCAAAATACAATCACAATAAAAACTCTGGAAAATACAAGCACAAAAAAATAAAAGTCACCCCACAGTCCCATCTCGTGTTTTCAACCCTGAGACAGTCATTGTCAACGTTTTGGTGTTTCCATTTTGAAAAATAAATCCATACTTATGTATAGAAAGAGTGGTTCTACCATCCGCTGCTCTTCAGCCTTTGCCTGGACGTTTTAAGACCGGCTAGTTAGTATTCCATCCCGTGGATGTATCTTTTCACTCGTGCATCCCCCACTCTTGAATCTCCGTTGGTTCCCATTGGCCGGCATGAATGTCGCCAAAAACAACCTTGCACTTTGCATCTCTGTACCATGCAGGTGCTATTAGTTCTAAGGTGATGTTCTGGAACCTTCTGTTAAATATCCGTTGAGGAGCTTTGACATGCTAGGCACCAGGTCAGACTCAGATCATTTTGGCTTCCCCCTGCTAATTACCTCAAAGTGGATATGTATTTAAATCACCCCCTTTTGTGTCTTACCAAAACTTTTCACATTTTGGTATAAACCCCAGGCTTCCTTCCTCCCTTAATATAAAAAGTAATTGTTTAATAAATAATGGAGGAAGCGAGGAAGACATTGTGGACAGATTTCATAGAGACCCCAGAATCTAGGATCTCAGATCCTCCCACCCCCACCCACCCCATCCCTTAAATAAATAAGTATAAATAAGCCACACAGGTGATCCCCCCCTCACCCAGGTCTCCTGGAAATGTATCTAGCTGGGTGTCGGCTTGTGTGGGGTGTGGCATGCCTGTGATGATCAGCCCCCCCCCAAGTAACAAAATAAATAAATAAATAAAAATGTGGCTTTAAAAGATGATATCGGTGGTGGCTTTCAGTCTTGAGTCACAGCCGCGTCTTCAGCAACAGCAGGCCTCGTACAGCCCAGTCCAAGGTCAGGTGCAAGCCTCCTAAAATGGCGTGAGCTGCCCGGATGCTTCCCCAGGCTGAAGCAGGAGGGCCCAAGGGGACCGTGGGTTGGTCTGGGGTTGCCTGGGGCAAAGCCAAGCGAGATGTCTGTTAAAGAGGGAGGAACAAGGTTAGCAAAAGGCAAGGGGTTTAGGTCTAAGATCTCTTCTGGGTCTGGGGTTCAGAGAACTGAAGCTGGATTGGATGCAGTGGTTCACATCTGTAATTACAGCACTCCAGAGGTAGAGGTTCAAGGCTACATAGAAAAAGCAGTTTGGGTTACAAGAAACCCTGCTCATTAAAAAAAGAATATGGAAAAAAAAAAAAGGCAGAACATGATTAATTGACAAAGATGACCATGTTGATTTCTGCCTCCAGGTTTACACACACACACACACACACACACACACACACACACACACACACACTAAGGTTACTGTCCTAAAGGCCAAGTAGTTAGAGGCTAGGGAATGAGGGCTGTGATCCTGGTGCTTGCCAGGTCTTCTCAAGTTCTCAAGAGAGGTCAGGGCTAGAGTTTTAGAGCTTGGAGTCTCGGGACCATGTCTAAGGCTTGGGGCTAGGAACAAGAATTTGAGATCTGGGACTGGAGAAATGGCTCAGAGGTTAAGAATACTGGCTGCCCTTCCGAGGTCCTGAGTTCAAGTCCCAGCAATCACAGGGTAGCTCAAACCACCTGTAATAAGATCTGACCTGCAAGCATACATGGAGACAGAATGTTGTCTACATAATAAATAAATAACTATTAAAAATGAAACAAAAAGAATTTGAGATCTGTGGGTCTTTGCAGTCAAGCACTAAAGTTTGAAGGCTTCATGAGGTTTTAAAATTTAGAGTTTGATATTTTTTAACCTCATAATATTTGAAATGAGACATGGGACTGGGATATTTATTGAGACAAGATTTCATATAGCCCAACTGGCCTCAACTCCCTAACAGCCGAGGATGACCTTGAACTCTCCTGTGGTCACCTCCCAAATAATAGGAGTACCATCAGGTGCTGCCTCCCATACCTGGATGTGGTTTTTTTGAGACAGGGTTTTGCTATGTAGCCATAGCTAGCCTGGAATTCACTAAGTAGACCAGGCTGGCCTGAAACTTGTGACAGTCCCCTATGTCTTGCCTGTGAGTGCTGATACTATAGGCAACAGTCACCATGCTCAGCTAGGGACTAGACGTGAGGTTTTGGCATCGTAGAGTGAGTCTCTAGGCTAGTTGAGTCAGGATCCTGATTTTTAGGGGCCGGGACTAGGCCTTTGAGATATGAGGCTCTCGGGGCTGGGATCTGAGACTTCAGAAATCAAAGGTTTACAGCTTCAGGCATCTTAGGGCCTATACCTCTAATTCTCATCCAAAAACTTGGATTTGAAGGACTCAGAATAGGTTTCATGGGCCTCAGGTCATGGGATTCAGGGTCTAGGGTCTAGACTTTCAGACAGGTTGTCAGGATTGGGGGGTTCACATTACCATGGGCAGGGATTTGGGGGACACAGGTCATGGACTGTGACAGTTTGGAGCCTTGGGGGTCAATTAAGAGTTGTTATGAAGGATTCTGGGGGTCTTGGGACCTCAAGGTTTCATGGTTATGGGATCATGGGTGTCTCATTTTCAGGGATCAGATGTGGGGGGGAGCTGGGTTTTCAAAGTCAGTCTGGGATCCTGAAATGTTGAGAATCAAAGTCTCAGACCACTGTTTCTTGGGGGTCAGAGGTTTCAAAATGGAGGCAAAGGGTCATAACATACCAAGAGCTGTAGACGACGAAGTAGTCGGTCCAGCCGGGCTTGCAGAGCACCCAGCTCTGGCTCCAGAATCTTCAGGGATGGACCACCTGCCCTGCGCAGCCATTGTACATGCCGGAGGTAGGACATCAAGTCTACTCGAAGCCTTGTCAGCACACCTGGAAGCTGAGGACCAGGGATGGAAATTACGGAAGAGCTGGCACATGGTCCCCTCCGCCACCAGTCATTCAGTCCTCCCTGCCAAGCAGCTCTCACCTGCAAGGATCCCAGTGTCCCAGCGCTCATGGCCAAGGTAGGCAGGGAGTCCAGATTGTGGTCTCCGTCCGCTGGGAATTTGTCTCTCTGGTGAGAAAGAAGCTGTGAGGGGAACCCCAGGCTCTCCTGGTCTTCGGGTGCCCAAGAGAGAAAGAAGTGACTCTCATTCTTAACAGCCCCAGTCCTGTCCCTCCAGTAACCTACCATCTGTGCGGCTAGTTGCCGAGTGTCTGCCAGAAGGGATCGGGTCAGGAGGACAGCGCTGTCCAGATCTGCACGAGGGTCTGAAGAGACTCGAGGGGAGCCAGATGGTGGCCCAGGGGCAATGGCTCTATTTGGCCAGAGGCTCAGCACCACCAGGACCAGGTGACAAACACCTGGGTACAGAAAAAGGGAGAAATCAGGCCCAACTCTGGGTCTGAGGGAGTGAAGTGGGGTCTAGAGTCCTTCCTCTGAGGAAGGACTAGAATACAGACCCTGGGTCTGAGTGAGGTAGGCTGGGGTCCAGAATTTTGGTTTTGAAGGAGTAAGACTGAGGTTTGGACTTTACGGCTTGTAGAAGGAGGGATGGAGGCTGGATTCTGAGTCTGAGGGAGAAAGGCTGGGACCCAGACACTTTAAATAAGGAGGTATGGGGTCTGGACTGTTAAGGACTGAGGGAGGAAGGCTGGAGCCTGAACTCCAGGTTCCGAGGGAGGAGAACTGAGGTTTGGACTCCCGGGTCTGAGGGAGGAGGGTTGGAGCCTGAACGCCTGGATCTGAGGGAGGAAGACCTGGAGGTCTTGAGTCTCAGGGTGGGGCGCCCCGGGGCAGGTCGCAAAGCCCGAGCTCGGGCGGGCTTCCCTCTCCCTCCCTGGCTCTGGCTGCCCCGCCCGTCGGAGCAGACGCGGCCCGGGGCGGGTAGACGGGCCGGGCGTCTCCCGTCCGCCCCCGGACGCCGGAATCTGGGCCCCGGGGCGGGGCATGAGGGGGGAGCACAGGCCAGAACCTGCCCCCTCCCCTGCCCAAGGAGCCTGAGCCGGCCTGGGAACAGGGGAAGGAGCCAGAGTCTGGAGCTGACATCCTAACACACCGATTCCTCTCCAGGGAGGCGCCCCGGACTCCCTCCCATATGTCCACAAAGGTGGCCGCGGAAGGCTGGGCCGCTGAGTCGGGGAGGACCTGGGCGCACCTGGCCTGAGAAGCGCTCAGGGACGCAGGCAGCTGGAGACCGGGCTGGCCGCGTTGGGGCTCAGGGGCTAGGGACAGCTCCTTTGCCGGCTGCCCATCCCCCCAGCTGCTCCGCCCACCTCCGAGCCAGACAGCCAATCAGAGCCCCCCTAGCCTCCAATCTCCTGTATCACACCCCCAGCCCGCCCCCTTGGTCCCCTCTGGCTGTAGCCAGTCCTTCACAGCCCCTCCTTGGCCGGCGGTCTATCGGTGCACCCGTCCCCGGCCGGTGCGCATCTGTCTGGCTCTTTAAGCTCTCTGTCCACACCCCTCTCTCGTCTGCCTCCCCTGCCTCCTCTGGGTCTTGCTGTCATCATCTGAGGACTTTCTGCCTCAGTTTCCCTCCCAGAGCTTCGCAGTTGGAGTTCATGGTTGTCTCTGTCCCTCGCTTCCCGCTGTCTCCCCGGGATACCCGGACCCTTCAGTATCATCTCCCAGGATCTGACCCTGATAGTGTCTGTCTGTATCTTCTCTCTTTTACTTGCGTTTTATCTATGTCTCTCTCTGTCCATCTCTTCTCTCAAACTCCCACTTTTCTGACTATTCCTTCTCATTCCATCTGACTCCCCATGACTCCTCTCTTCGGCCGGCCGTCTGTCCCTACTTTGCTTCCCACCCTTCCCCCCCCTCAATCCTTTCCTCCTTCCCCCCCACCCTGTCCCCTCACCCCATGAACTGGAACCAACTTACAGTTCATGTCCCCACAGGCCAGAGGTTCCCCAGGGCAGGGGGCAGGGAGCCGGGGGGGCCTTTAACCCTTCCCTGTCCGCTGCCGGGGGATCCCAGGGGGTCAGCTGGGCCTCGGCCTGGGGAGGGGAGGTATGTGAGTGTGAGCAGCAAGGGCCAGGCAGTGAGGGAGTGTGTACGCCTGGGGGGTTATATAGGGGGCCGGGGCGGGCGGGCGGGGGGCAGGCAGCAGGGGAGGGCGGCCTGACACATCCTGACTCACCCTCCCTCCTGCCTTTTCCATTCAGACTAGCCGGCTGCCTAGCAGGGCTCACACCGCCTTGCTCGGAGGAGGGCACGGAAGGAAAAGTTGGAAAAGTTGAAAAGTGAAGGGGGGGTGGTCTGAGAGGGGCCGGTGAGGTCATTGGCGTCCCCTCCCTCCACCTCCACGGGCTGGGATACACACACAAGGCTCAAGAGCTCCGTGGAGCCTGGGCTGTGGGTGGGGGTCTGGATGGACCCGCACTAGCCCTTCTAGAGAGATGGGGAGACAGGAGGAGAGGCCAGTCAGGGGCCTGGGGAAATGTAGATGAGAGGGAGAGTCTAAGTGACAAGGAGGGATGAAAACACTGGGACTGAGGTAGCGACTCCGAATCAGGGCGACTGACAGATGCCCAGAGGTGGGGACCGTAGGACAGAGAGGTCCGCAGTCTCTGACTTACAGACACGGGGAAACTGAGGCGCTGAGGGGTGTGGCTCAGTTCAGAGTGCTTGCTTAGCATGCACAAAGGCCTTGCCTGGTTTTACTCCCAGCACTGGTTGTGATGGTGCACACCTTGTGGTCTCAGCACTTATAGGCAGGATGTTGAGGAGTTCAAGGTCATCTGTAGCTATATAGTGAGCCTGTAGTCAGCCTGGGCTACCTGAGAACCTATTTTTAAAAAGAACCAGAGGGGAAGTGAGACATGGCCCTGGAGAGATGAAGCTAGCTGCAGAAGAATGTACAAAGCCTATGGAGATAGCAAAGCAGGGTGACCAAAGATGGGGTCACCTGAGAGACAGAAGTCAGATGATATGCTGAGGAGACAAGATGGAAGGGCCAAAAGAAAGAGGCATGGAGGTCCTCCACAGAGGTCTCTGGCCGTGTTGCCACACTACCAACCACCACCCCCTGCTGCCTCAATTCTCTCATCTGTAGATGGGGCTAAGGAGATGGCCAGTGGGTAAAAGTGTCTGTTGCACAAACCTGAGAACCCAAGTTGAATCCCCCACCGAGACGTGAATCTGCAGCACCATGACTGAGCAGGTGGAGATGGCAGGCTCCCTGGGGCTTGCGATGTCTTCCAGCCTAGCTCCCAGTTCAATGGGAGACCCTCTCTCCAGGGCATAAAGTTGAGAGTTGAGCAGGGCACCCATTGTCCCCCCCCACCCCGCCCGGCCTCTGTGCACTTGCACACAGGTACAACTACCCACCCCCACATATACACACACACACACACACCTTCCTATCGCTAATGCCACCGTGAGAGTGATGTGCAGGGAACCATTGCTGGTCTCAGGGTTACAGTTATCAGTCTTCCAGGGACAGGGGGAGCCCCTGGGAAAGATGGCAGAAGCGAGTGGACAGGTACTTGGAACAAAGACAAAGTCACATCCAGAGAAGGGAGGCATGATATTTGTCTATCCAGGTAAGAGCAGAGCATGCAGACTACAGCGATGCCCACACGACCATGTTCAATGGATGACTGACTACTATTGGCTCAGAATTCACAGCCCTTCAAGGGACAGGGCAGAGGAACTCATGCCCATCTCCAGAAGCCTCCTCCTCAGGAGGAGAATGCCATGGCTCTGAGCACAGGTCAGTGACTTAGACTTCAAAAAAAAATAAAAATAAAAATCTCTGTGCAGACCACCCATGCCTGCCTTTGGGACTAATGCATTGGCTGGAGATTGGGGGGGGGGGGGGGGAAGCTGGCTCTGGAACTGACTGGCAGCCAAAGACATCCCCTCCCCACCTTCCACCACTAGGGGAGGGAGAACTGCTCAGATCCCCCAGGAGGTGAGGTCACAGCCCCCCATGGTGGGACATGACCTCATCGCCTCAGGTAAGAGCTCTTTCTCTCCCTTTCATGGTCTGTCACACCACCCCTTTGAGGGGCCCCCCAGGGGCCCTCCTCAGCCCCTGCTCCTGCTGGGACCCAGGCTTCTGACCACTGGGTCTCCGCCCCTCAGGGGGCCTGTTTCCGGCTGAGTCAGCGTGGGGGGCCCAAGGCTGCGTCAGTGAGGGGAGAACTGACGTAGCCCCCCCCTCAGACCATGTGGGCTAGCCAAGGTGACTCAGGCCACCAGCCTGGGGAATGGACTGGCCTGAGGGGATAGGGGACTGGGCTTGCAGCCAGACCTGGCCCAATACCAGGGACTGCAAATGCCTGCCCCTTCCCCCAACTGAGATTCAAGAACTCATATCATCACCTCTCCATCTCCCCTATTCCTCAAACCCTGAGCACACACCCCAGCCTTTTCCCTCAGGCCCAGGGTCTCAGGGGTTTAACCCTCCTGAGAGGATTAAGTTCAAACACAGGGTACAGACCCTGTCCCTCCCTTAGATCCAGGGCTCCAGACCCCCAGCCCTCCTCCATCAGACCCAGGGTCATAGGTACCCAAGCCTCCTCCATCAGACCCAGTATACAGACCCTAACCCTCTTCCATCAGACCCAGGAGCACAGACCCCAGCCTCCTCCCTCAGACCCAGAGAACAGACCCAGCCTCCTCCCTCAGACCCAGTGCACAGACCCCAGCCCTCCTCCATCAGATCCAGTGTACAGACCCCAGCCTCCTCCCTCAGACCCAGAGAACAGACCCAGCCTCCTCCCTCAGACCCAGTGCACAGACCACCGCCTCCTCCATCAGACCCAGTGTACAGACCCCAGCCTCCTCCATCAGATCCAGTGTACAGACCCCAGCCCTCCTCCATCAGATCCAGTGCACAGACCCCAGCCTCCTCCATCAGACCCAGGGTACTAAATTCTCATTTTTATATAAGTGGAAGAAAACTGTGATGTCCAACAATTGTGGGACCTCCATGTCTGAGAAAGTTCATGGGTCTGGGTCGTGGGCTGGGGCTGGTTTTTAGTCCTGCCTCACTCTTCTCCCTGAGGGTTGTGGGGAAAGACTCATCGTCCCCAGGGTGACCACAAAGGACAGAGTGGACTTGGGACTCCTGGGTCTTCCTTTGGTGAGGGTAGGAATAGCAAATCTCTGGAAATAAGACAAAGACAGAGACAGACGGGTTGGGAGACTCTGGGAATCCCCCCAAATGACGGAAGGTAGCAGAAACAAACAAACACATACAGAATCTCAAAGTCTCGTGACAAGAAGACAGATGCAAGGAAAGATGAGTCCTGGGGAGACCAGCTTGAGTACTCAAAAACAGAGTGAGGCGGAGAGCAGAAGGTCTCGGAGGGCCCCTAGGATGTGGGGGTCCAGCCACGGGCGCCTTGATGTTGTGCTCACCCCTGGGTGAGCTGGTGCTGGCTGGGTGTGATGTCAGCACATCCCAGGCTGTGTGTGTCCGTCTGTCTGTCCCTGGGGGGTCCTGTCTGGCCTCTGGGGGGTGACGGGGCAGGTCAGCCACAGAGGCAGCCCAAACCTGTCATTAGTGGTGAGGGCCTTGACGGTGCCCCCCCAATCCCAATCCGCAGTCCAGCGCCAAGCAGCCCCACCCCCACCCCCTCCTTGATCCCTGAGGAATCCAGGGAATTGGGAAGTGGGTCCAGATGGTGTTGACACAGGAAACGGTCAGCAGCTGCCCGGCCTCAGCCCCACAACCCCTCTGACCCCCACCCCCATACCCCCTGCCGAGCCCCCTCGGACCTGTGTCATCTCTGACGGAGTCAGCCTAGGGCCCACTCAGCACCCTCTAGTATGTTTACTGACGGTCCTGGGGATGAAAGGGATACAGCCTCCTCCTAGGCTTCTTGGGAAACAGGATCTAAACTCAGACCCCTCCCTCCCACAGAATGGACAACAGCCCTCTTCCCTCAGATCTGGAATCCTGGAGGCCCTAGACTTAGAATCAAAGGTCCAGACCCTAACTCCTCCCTCAGACTTTGGGAACCCTCCTTGAAATCCTGGAGTCTAGGATCTAGCCTTCTCCCCTACTTAGACTCATAGTCCGAGCTTTAGGACTCCAAGACCTAGCTTTCTCTGCTCAGACCCACTTAGGGTCCTATACCCACTTCTCCTCCCTCAAATAAAGATCAGGACCTAGTCCTCCTTTCCTACTTAGCCCCAGGGACCCAGATTCCAGTTTTGCTTCTTTCCTTCAATCCATGGTTCCCATCACCAGCTCTCCCGCTTCCTCAGACCCAAGGGTTCAATTCCCCAGACCTTGCCACTACCTCAGATCCAGTGATCCCATCTCCCAGCCCTCCTCCATCCCTCATAGCAGAGGTCCATGCCCCAGACACTCCAGGAGTCCAGGGCCAATTGCAGACTGTCAGTCTGTCAGGAACTGAAGTCCCCTTCTCACTATGCCAAGTGGATATTGACTCAGGTGAACTAGAAACCATAGAGATACTGCCTCCCATGCTAGTCTGGCTTCCTGTAAGCCTGGTCCCTCGGCAAACTTGGATAGACCAAACACAAAGAAAACAACCTGAGATGCTCTGGTTTGTGCTCCCTCATAGGGAACTGAGTCTCTCTGGGGAGCTGGAACTTTTGGCATGAGACACCATCACAACCACTAACAGTGTCTACATCTCAAGCTCAGCTGGGCTAGGCATGGTCAGTCCTGTCCCTGGCATGTGAGGCCTGGTGCAGCCTGAGACTCCCAGGGCCACCTCCATCAGCCAGCACTATCCCTTCCTCCTCCTGATTTGGTTGCTGGGGAAACCTTCTCTAACAATGGGGCTCAATGAGACCTGAATGTCTTGGGCCATTTTTCCTGGTTGCTAAAGTGGACTCCCTAGCAATGAGGCTTTCTGAACTTGGACCACTAGAGGACACTGGGTTAAGAAAGAAAGGAATTCTGTAGCTCAGAGATCTTTCCTGTCCCAGATCTGTACCCTGTCAGGTACCCCATGGAAAAGGAGAAACATCTCCAGACCCTGGTTTCTCGTTCCCTTGTCCTTTGCTAAGAAGGCTCTAAATCTGAAATCGCCCATGCCCACCCACCTCTTCTCCATAGATGCTAAGGGAAGCTACTTCGTCCAGGGCACCCCTCCTTGTGAATCCCTTGCTAACGGAACTCCCTGGCAACAGAACTAAGAATTCTGGGGCTGAGGTTTTGGGGCGGGGCCAAGTTGTTGCTAGGGTGATGTCCTTCAAGGTTTCTCTCCACAGAGGGCCCAGAGGTCTGGGGAGGTAACATGGTAGGGTCTGGGGTCCCAGCTTTGGGCCTTCTCCTGCTGATGCTGGGCTCAGTAGGTGAGGGTACTGATAAGGACATTAGGGGGCTGAGGACAGGGCCACCTTGGCTGCCATACAATCTCCCAACACCACCCCTTTTCTCCCACAGATGCGAATGGAATCCAGGGATTTTTCTATCCATGGAGTAAGCAGGAGACAGAATCCTGGGGCTCCAGGGAGGGGATCTCAAATTAAGACTGCAGGGTCTGAGGGAGAAAGGCTGGGGTGTGGACTCCTGGGTCTAGGAACATAACCTCTGGGTCTCAAGGGCTGAAAGCCTTGACTTTTGGGTCTGAGGGAGGAAAAGTAGAGCCTGATCCCTAGGTCTGGAGGAAAGGCTAAGGCTTAGACCCCTCAGATCAAAAGAAAGAGTTCCAGGAACTCAACCCTGGGTATAGAGAGGGGTGCTAAGGCCTGGACCCCTAGATCTGAGGTGGATCAAGGGACTCAACCCCTAAGTCTGAAGGTGATGAAGAGCCTGTAAACTCTGATTATAAAGGAAGAGAGCTAGAGCTTTGATCCTGTGTCTGAAGAAGGACTGGGGCCTAGAACCCTGGGTCTGAGGTCTGAGTAAGGAGAGCTGGGCCTTGACTCCCAGGTTTGAGGGAGGAGGGCTGTGGTGTGGACCCTCTCAAGGAAGGGGTTTGGGGTCAGGAGTCCAGGTCTGAGGGAGGAGGGATGGGTCTGGACTTGTGGGTCCTATATAGAATAGTGTCCAAAACACAGCACCTCAGCCCCACAGCCTGGCCTTGGCACCCTTGTGTCTGTAGCCTTCAGGGCCAGGTCTGTTACTGTCTATTGTGGTGGCCCTCAGGTTGTGAGGGAGATGTGTGGGACCGAGAGAGCTGTGGGGGTCAGGCCGCCATTGAGAACCCCAACCTCTGCCTCCGCCTGCGATGCTGCTACCGGGACGGTGTGTGCTATCATCAACGGCCGGACGGTGAGTGGCCTGGTCCAAAACTGGATGATTGAGAGAGTGAGGGGTACAACCACTGGACCCCTGGATCTTCCTCCTCCCCCTTTTCTAGAAAACATGCGCAGGAAGCACATGTGGGTGCTGAGCTGGACCTGCGGAAGCCTGCTCTTCCTGATGGCCAGCATGTGCTTCTTCTGGTGAGTGCAATGGGCGAGGCCGCAGGCGTGGCTCCCCACACAAGGTGCAGGCAGTTCTGGCTGAAATAATGCTCTCCCCACCAGGTGGGCCAAGCGCCAAAACATGCTGCACCTGCCACAGTTTCTCGTGGGGAAATGCGACCTGTCACGAACAGTCTCCCTACTGTCTAAGGACCGACCATCGGTCAGCAAGAAGTCAACCACAGCTGGCACACCCGTCTCGGTGCCCATGGAGGTGCTCGAACACTCAGGAGGAGGCACCGAACCGGAACTTACAGAAGCCGGGGAGGATACAGAGGGAGATGATGATTAGGGGCAGCCCTATAGGACCCCTCAATATAGATATGGCATATAAATGTGTGTCTTGTTTGGAAATCTGTTGGGAGCAGGTGGCTTTATGGGAACCACCATGCTCCATGTGGGTTTCGAGAAAGCTTATGGGGCAAGGGACTGAGTTGGCACACTGAGTTGTTATGATTGGGGGCCATGAATTAAGTGTATGTGAGGGTCTGGTTTGAGTGAGTTCTGGGGACAGGTAGCATGTGTCTGAATTGTGGAAGGGGACCAGAGGTCGTTCTGGGTGAGGGAGCTTGTGGTGAGCTACAAGGAAGTGAGCTTGCAGTAGGACAACTTGGGGTATTAGGAACATACATATCCATGGGAAGTGTCCTAGGTTGTCCTGTTTCAGGGAGCACTGCTCTCACACTTCTCCTGCCCCGTAGCACCAATGCCTGAGTGGGTACACAACAGTATAGGCTTGGGGCTGGAAACAGGCTCGATGGTTAAGAGCTCTGACAGGACTTCCAGGGGACCTGAGTTCAATCCCCAGCAACCCACATAACAGCTCACAACTGTCTGTAAATCCAGTTCCAGGAGATTCGACACCCATGGCAAAACACCAATGTACATTTTAAAAAAAAAAAGAGGAGTATGGGCACCATCCAGCAAGGACTTCAGCTGTCCTGGAGTCCCCACTGGCCAAATCTTTTCTTGGAAGTGTGTTGTCTGCATTCAGACTCAGCCTGCCAATTAGCTCTCTCTCCTAGTCTTGGAGGCATCCTGCATCAATGCCACCCTCGATAAGGACCACCCTCCCGCAGTAAATAGCTTGCAAGTATACCCCCGTTTCTGTTCTTGGAAGACCCAAACTACCCTAATGGATGTCTGGGCTGGGTGCATGGGTCTGCACTGGAGATCCTCTCACCTCCCCAGTGCCCCTATTGGAGGGCCAGTGAGAAGTCTAGGGCATCCTAGATAAAGATAAAAGGTGGCTTGGCCTGGCAGGAAGGGTATATCACTCTCCTTCACCAGTTCCAGGCCCTTAACCAGATAGGCAAACAGTGCTCCAAAACCGAGACATTTATCCAAGTGAGGGAACAGGCGGGTATCCTGGTGGCTGCGTGATGTCCGGGGCAGCTGGGCATCTGTAGGTCCTGGGGGATGAGGCTGTCTGTGGGAAGGAAAGGTGGGGTTAGTGACTAATTAGGATTGCTCCTCTTCTGGGGTCCCCTCCCATGAGCTGGGGAGCCCCTTACTCACTGATGAACACTTGCTGCAGAGCCCCAAGAGTGTGTGCGCACAAATGTGTGTGCTTTTAGCTCACCAGAATCCACTGATACAGGTGAGACTGTAACAGGAAAAAAGCCAAGAGAGGCACAGAAACAGACCTGGGGAGTCACAAAGGCAGGGAGATGAACAGAGATGGAGAAAACAGGCAAAAATAAACAGCTGGGGGAATCCCAACACCTGGAAGGTTGAGAAAGAGGGTTTTCAAGGCCGTGTGCAAGGCGTGGCTTAGTGGCCAGCCTGGGTCACAGACAGTGAGATTCTGATTAAAAACAAAACAAAACAAGTGGCTGGAGAGATAGGTAAGGTTGCTTACTACCAACCCTGAAAACCTGTTTGCTGCCCTAGACCTGCATGGTAAGCACGCCCGCTGGTTCTCCTCTGACACCTCTTCGCACTCCAGAGCACACAGATACACACATACCCCAAAGACATAAATGTAATTAAAAACAAAATGAAAAGCAAACCAAAAAAGAACCAAGTCAGATGAGGTGGCTCACACCTGTAACCTCAGCATTTAAGAGGCAGGAGAGTACCAGGCATTAAAAGTCCAGCCCCACCTATATGGAAGTTCAAGGCCACCCTTTGTAATGAAATTATGTTAGGAAAGGGGAGCCAGAAGGACAGGGAGGAGAAGAGGAAGAGGAAGAGGAGGAAAGGAAGGAGGAAGAGGGGGAGGAGGAAGGGAAAGAGGAGGGGGAGGAGGAAAAGATTTGCCCACGCTTGGCGGTGGTGGCCCATGCCTTTAATCCCAATTCTGGTCTACAGAGTGAGTTTCAGGACAGGTGCCAAAGCTACAGAGAAATCCTGCCTCGAAAAACAAAAACAAAAACAAAAAAAAACAAACAAAAAAAGAAGAGAATGCCTTTGTGTCAAAATTCAAGTTCTTTAAGGTCTTTCCAAATGCACACTTCTGAGTAATGTCAAGATTCTACAAGAATCAGTTTAACTACAGATGGTGATTTTGGCATATGTCAAATGTTGTAATCCAACATTTCTTCATGCTTCACATATACATGACTGTTGAGTCTTTAAATATTATGTGTGTGTTTGGTTTTTTGAGACAGGGTTCAGGGTTTCTCTGTGTAGCCCTGGCTGTCCTAGAACTTGCTCTGTAGAACAGGCTGGCCTGGAACTCACAGAAATCCACCTGTCTCTGCCTCCTGAGTGCTGGGATTAAAGGTTTGAGCCACCACAATGTATGTTTTAAGATTTATTTTTTATTTTATGTGTGTGAATGTTTTGCCTGCTTGTCTTATGCCTTTGGAGGCCAGAAGAGTTCATAAGATTTCTTGGAATTGGAATTGTAGACACTTGTGAGCCAACATGTGGGTGCTAAGAATGGAATTCAGTCCCTCTGCAAGAGCAGCCAGTGTTCCTAACCTCTGAGCCGTCTCTCCAGCCCCTCTTCTGGTGTTTTGAAACAGTCTCACTATTACAGTCCTGGCTAGCCTGGAACCCACTATGTACATTAGGCTGGTCTTGAACTTCCTGAGTGCAGGAACTATAGGATTACCAACTGTGTCTGGTTTTATGTGGTGCTCAGAATTGGATCCAGGGCTCATGAATTCTAGGTAAGCTCTATACAGCTGAACTACACCCCCAGTTCATTTTTTTTCCCCCTTTGGTTTATAAAGATACGGTTTCCAAGTGGTTCAGCTCTGGCTATCCTGGAACTCGCTTTATAGACCAGGCTGGCCTTGAACTCACAGAGATCCGCCTGCCCCTGCCTCCTGAGTGCTGGGATTAAAGGTGCACGCCCTTACAGCCCAGCTTTGCTGTTCTTTCTTTCACTTTCCTCATCTGAACTATAGAACATAGAATCCAATCCTTAGCTCTCACAAAGTATAGAATCAAATTCATATTACTCTGAATGCCCGGGAGAAAAGTAAGAGTATCTTAGGCTAGTGAGATGGCTCATGGGTAAAAGCGCTTGCCATATAATCCTGACAATCTAAACTCTATGGTGGAAGGAGAGAACCCATTCATGAAAGTTGTCCTCTGACTTTCACAGATGCACCATGGTACACTCACTAGTGCACCCCACCCGTGCGAGTGTGCGTGCATGTTCATGCATGTGCACACAGACACACACCCAGAAGGTTTTAGGATTTAATACTTGTACAGAAATCCCACCGAGGAAATCATTCATTCATTCCAATCCACCTACACACCCATCCACTTAGTCACATATCTACCTGCCCAAACTATCCATCCAACCACTCACGAGCTTCTATCCATCCAATCCTATTTATTCACACACCCATTCACATATTACATCTACCTATTAGCTAATCTCATGCTGAAGCAGGAAGACCCCACACTGTGAACCTGGGGTACACAGCAAGACCCTGTCTCAAAAACAAAACCATCTATTCACCATTTTACCCATCCATCAACAAATCCATTCATCAATTCTGTCTGCTCCCATGCACCCAATTCATCAATCAACTCTTCTATAAACCATTCATCATCAATCCACCCCATCCATCAGCCAACTCATCCATTATCCATCCACTCATCTATCAACTAAAATGCATCTATCCATTCATCAATCTGGAACACATTTATCCATTCTCCATCTACTTTTTGATCCATCCTTCCACTTGCCTATCCATCATCAACCTTTCCTGAGTTCACAGTTTTTGCTGGGTAGTGTTAGGAACAAAGACACCAAAGATCTGACTGGAATTTACCTGTCAGCCGCGAGAACCAGCTCCCAGAGACGGACTCTATGGCTATCTGAGCAGCAACAGGAGTGGCTCAGACAACAGAAATACTCAAAGGAGGGCAAAGGAGCAAGCTGGTGCCTAAAGAACACACAGGAAGCTTTCTGGCTGGAGTGTGGACAGCAAGGACCCTCCTAGTTAGAAGGACATCTGTCTGTCTGTGGTCTGAGAGATGGAAGTGCAAATAAAGTGTGGAAGGAGCTAGCCGGGCAGTGGCCTTTAATCCCAGCACTCGGGAGGAGCTCTGAGTTTGAGAACAGCCTTGTCTACAGGGCGAGTGCCAGGACAGTCAGAGCTACACAGAGAAACTCTTGTCTTGAAAAACAAACACAAACAAAGGTGGTGCACACCTTTAATCCCAGCACTCGGAGGCAGAGGCAGGCAGATCTCTGTGAGTTTGAGGCCAACCTGGTCTATAGAGCTAGTTCCAGGACAGACTCCAAAACTACAGAGAAACCCTGTCTCAAAAAAGAAAGAAAGAGCCTTTAATCCCAGCACTCGGGAGGCAGAGGCAGGCAGATCTCTGTGAGTTCGAGACCAGCCTGGTCTACAGAGCTAGTGCCAGGACAGGCTCCAAAGCCACAGAGAAACCCTGTCTCGAAAAAACAAAACAAAACAAAAAAGACCTTCAGAAGAACCCGATCCGTGACACGACAGACCTGTGCTCAAGGACTCTGAACCAGGAGCCACCCTCCAAAAGGCCCCTTCTTACCCAACAGACCCTGCTGTCGCAAGCGGAGAGGGGTTGGAAACCAGGCTTGGGAAGCGCCTTGAGCCGGCAGTCCTCCCTCAGCCCTACACCTAACTCCCTCTCCTCCGCCCAGGCCGCTCTAGAAGGCAGTTGCTCCCTCTCAGCCCGGCTGCCCCTGTCCCCTCTGCTTTCCCTTGAGCAGCAGCTGCTCGGTAGTCACACTGTGTCTCTTCTGCCTGCCCCCATTAGGAAAAGTCTCCTTTTGACCTCTCAGCGAGCCACTCGTTCCCTTTCGAGGGGGAGGGAGGGGAAGGGAAGGAAGAGGGAGTCGTCTCAGCATTTACCTAATTAGCAGTAATTAGAAGGCAGGGCCCTGGCGCTCTCCTCGCAGCTGCTCGGAAGGACAGAGCCAAAAGCAAGCAGCACACACTGGCGGAGAGACCCCAGGCTGTCCTCCCTCTCTCGGCTGCCATGGTCACTCTCTGGGAAAGTCGTGCATCTTTGTCCCCAAAGTCGGTTCCCTCAGGTGTTTTTTTTCCAGGTGAGAGGCTTTGGGATGTTGAATCTCAGCCCCGCCCCCCAAAACAGTAGCCTTGAAATAAGTTCAACCAAACCTCATGGGAGCCATGGCCAGATGACCCTGCCAAATAAAATGCTGGTTCCCATGACAACCCAAACCACACCCCCCAAGAGAGGGTGGCGGTCATTAATGGGTCTACATGCAGCCTTCCGAGAGTCCCAAGATCTGCCTCAGAGTTGAGCCTGCATTGAGGGCAGAGTTCTGCAAAGCCACCCAACTGCAGCCCGATGCCTTCCTCTCTCATTAGGGTCTCTGTTCCTTTTCAGTAGCTTCGAGCCCAGACCGGAGGGGCTAGGATCACAAGACAACCTCGGATCTGCTGGCAACTCAGATGGTCAGCACATCTAGACCTCCGGGGGGCTCTCACCTCAGCAGGTGGAGTGGAATAGAGAGGCTGTTTTTATTGGGAGCATGGCCTGCCCTGACCCCAACATCAGGCACCAGCTGTTTGGTACTGTCCGTCCTGTTGTTGCTTATTAATGATTCTGATTAACCTCTATGGAGATCCATTATCTCTAAGCCAGGGAAGATACTATTAATTCCCATCTGTGCCGGATTACTTACAGTTAGTGGTTGGTACTTTTCCATGGTCTCACAACACATCTTAATCAGATGGTGAGTGGGTTTAATTAGCCGAAGTATAGGTTTTATTTTTTTTTATTCATATAACTACTTAATCTAATGGAAGCCTATTATCTGTGGCTCTTTCCCATGCACAATTATTGCTGTTTTTAATTGATGGCACATCAGGGGTTGAGGCTACAATATGGCAGCTGCAATGAGAAGTCGCCTTTCCCCACCCCAGAATGGAGGTCGAGAAAATGAGTTGTCAGGGAAGCATCGGATCTCTTGTTTTCACTGAGACATGGGCTCCCATGTGGAAG